TGGTGTGGGATGAGCTGGTAGGTACAAACCTCAGCCAGCAGCACACATCCATGTTGTGTGTGCAAAGATGTGTTATCTCAGGAGTCACAACCTGGCCACAGCTCCCACCTCAGGTGATGCTCAGAGCAAACGCTCTGTCCTGGGAGGTTGGGTTAACCTTTCCTTGTGTTTATGATGATCCTTGTGAGGAATATGCCATCTTAATATGAGAGACTAGAAAATTCTTTCCTCCCTCAGAGAACATGCATGATTTCTTGCTTGCTGCCCTTGGCTGGGCAGAGCTGAGGGCATTAGGCTAGTCTTCCATCTTGTTCAGACTCTTCAGCTCTAAGCACAGCTGCAGACTCTGCATGCAGCACGGTGCAAGAGTTCTTTCAAGTGGGAAGTGACCGTAGGCACAGTGTCATTGACTCTGCATGCAGCACGGTGCAAGAGTTCTTTCAAGTGGGAAGTGACCGTAGGCAGAGTGTCATTGGTACTTCTTAGAAATCCAAAACAATCGAGCGCACTCTTGCACACAGTGAGTGGTCAATCAATACTTCATGAATTAACTGCGTGAGCCCACACAGATCTCAGAAGGTGCATAGCTGGAAGACCCAACTCAGAGGGCACTACTTCATTCTTCGGTTTCTGTCGTTCTTTCAGGCAGTAAACGACTTGTTTAGAATTATGAGTCTTTAAAATCACAGGCAAAAATCTCCCTGAGAATTGGAAAGTAAGATTCCTGTGCATGACCAAGAAGGTTCCATGGCATTGTGCTCATCCTGTGTCTGTGAGGCTGAATCGAGGAGGGCACGCTATGTGGCAGTCTCTACACACCCACCCCCGTTGATAGCTGAGCAACGTGCCCCACTTTGCTCTTCTTTTTACAGAATGTGGAAGCAGGTGGTGCTGTGGCAGAGCTGCAGGATGCGCACCTACACAGTGCTGTCATGTCAGGACTGTGATAGGCAGGTAGGGAAGAATGTAAAGCCAGAGGCTTTAGGAAGCAAACTGATTTGCAAAATAACATTGCAGAATCACGTGCATCCTAGAACTGGTGTGTGTGTGTGTGTGTGTGTGTGTGTGTGTGTGGACTCCAACACTACTTGTGTTAGTTATTTTTCTCATCATGATAAAATACCTAGCAGAAGCAGCTTGGGAGAAGGAGGATTTATCTCAGTTCTTTGCTGGAGAGGCTCCTGCCTGTGGCAGCTGGAATGCTAGGCAGCCTGCTCATATCTCCATGGTCCACTAGGAAGCAGAGAGATGGGGCAGGAAGGAAGGTTGGGCTGTAACCCTCAATGCCTGTCCAACTTGCCCAAGGTAAGCCCCACCTCCAAAAGGTCATACAACCTCCTAAACAGCACCAACAAGTAGGGGTTAGTGTTCAGATCTATGAGCCTGTGGGAGACATTGCACAGTCAAGTCATTAACTCAAATAAAAAAAAACACACCTGGGAGACAGGGAGAGGGGACACACATCTTTAGTCCCAGCACTTGGGAAGCAGAGGCAGGAGGATTTCTGTGGGTTCCAGGCCAGATGTAGTTACAAGGCAAACCCTGTCTCAAACAAACACACAAGCAAGCAAGCAAACCCAAAACAAAACAAAACAAAACAAAAACAGAAGTAAAATTATGTGAGTGTACAGTTCTGATAGCATCATCACCGATGTATTCAGGAGGAAGGACTACAACAATATTTTAAGTGGAAATAAACACATGTGATATACCAAAGCCATTATGTACTAGTGAATCTAGTTTTATTGTCCCCCAAAATACTTTCTAAAACACACCAACATGGGCTACCTGAAAGATATCTCACATCATTTGAAGGGGGGAAAATTTTGCTCATTGCTAACTTCAGATTGTTTTTACATTTAGCAAACTGGACCAAGGTTCAAGGGAGGAGGTAAGGCAGGTGGTGAGGGAAGAGAGGAGATAGCTTGCTGACAGAAAACCAGGGACTGCTCAAGTTCACGTGCTCCCTGTCCACCTGCTGTGTGAGCTATTCCTGGGGAGGTGTGAACAAACATCTTTTCATCCCCATAGGGCATGGATGACAGACCAAAGAAACAATTCCAGTCAAATCTAGCTTGGCGAACCAAGGAGTTTATTAGGGCTACTTACAGGAGCGTGGGTGACTTAAAGGCACCTACATCACGGAAGGGCCCCTGGAGCTCTCTCCGCAACTTGTAGGCAACCCCACTGAAGAGAGTCTTCCACAGAAAGTGCTCACTGCTTATAGAAAACTGAGGGGAGGCTTTGTGGGTCTTGTAGCCCACTGGGCTTGTTGGGTAGCTTTATGCATCTTGTGAGCCCTGGTCTTCCCTCCAGGGAAATATTTCAGCTTGGAGGAAATAACAACACCACCCCGTCACAGCACCTACCTCCTGTTTCTTCTTGGGTTTTTTGTACAAGCTTCCATCCCACAGAGTTCTGCAGGAAGTTCTACCCAACACATCCTGGCACCTCTCTTGGTCCTGGCACTAACTGTCATGGGAAGGGATTTTGTAGCCTGGAATGAATAGCAGGTGCTTAGTTGTCCTGACTTCATACTAAAATAGAAAGATGGCCGGGCATGGTGGCACATGTCTTTAATCCCAGCACTTGGGAGACAGAGGCAGGCAGATGTCTGTGAGACCGAGGCCAGCCTGGTCTACACGGTGAAATCAAGGGTAGCTGGGGCTGTAGGGAGACCCTCTCTCAAAAAGACAAAAGAAAAAAGCCAGTTTATTCCTAAATATTTCCAAACAGGAATTTTAAAGCATGCACTGCCTGGACATTCTAACCTTAAGTCAGATAAAAGTACAGACTTAACAAGTAAAGCTGAGCCGGTTGCCATCCATGGTGGCACTTACCTGTAAACCCAGTACTCGGGCAGCAGAGGCGGGAGGATCACTGCGAGTTCCAGATCAGACAGGGCTTTGATAGGAGACTCTGTCTCAAAGCAACAACAGCCATAAGAACAAGATCAAACAAAAAGCAAAGCCAAACGTTCATATGAATTTTACCACTTTTGTTTCACCACGAAGATGCAGTGATAAAGGCTGTGAACGCACGTAGAGGCCAGATCTTCACTGGACACCATAGGCTGTAATTAGAACAGCAGTGCCAAGTGAGGAAATCCATGTGTTTACCCTGAATTCAGAATTTCTAAATTTATTTATTTTTGTGTGTTTGTGTGTTTGTATGTGTGTGCCACATGTGTGCAGGTACCTGTGGAGGCCAAAAGAAGGTGTCAGATCCCCTGGAGCTGGAGTTACAGGTGGCTGTGAGTCACCTGATGTGGGTGCTGGGAACCGAACTCAGGTCCTCTGGAAGAGCAGTAAGCACTCTTAACCACGGAGCAATCTCCACAGCTCTCGTCTGATTCAACACTGCGCAATAGACTGGAGGCAGTGATCCGTGGTGTAGCACTTGTCCAGCATACTGAGTCTCACTACACGGATGAGTCAAGGAATAAAATATACTTAAAGAGGTATTTATTGCCTAAATTTGGAAGTGATGAGACTGTAACAGCTTCACCAAGACCATATAATTTAATCAAACTGAAAATCAGCCAAAGGCAGTGCTGGCATAGTACTGAGGGCTTTGCAAATAACAGCAACCACCTAATAATAATAATAACAATAATGATAATAATAATGATAATAATAATAATAATAACAACATCAACAACAGACAGCCAGGTGTGGTGGCACACGCCTTTAATTCTAGCACTCAAGGCAGAGGCAGGCAGATCTCTGTGATTTCAAGGCCAGCCTGGTCTACAGAGTAAGTTCCAAGCCAGCTGAGGCTACAGGGAGACCCTGTCTCAAGAAGACCAAAATAATAATAATAATAATAATAATAATAGTAATGAAATAATGGAAAAATAAGCTCACAAACATTGCACAGTATGTATATGTATTGAAATATCATAGGCTACCCTATTTTATGTAAAATTTTCTTTTCTTTATATATCAGTATCAAAGTAAATTTAAATAAATAGTAAAGTAATAATTATGAAAAACTAATGAGTCCACTGGAGATAAAGAAAATTTGCACAGTGCTGAATGTAAACTAGTTCAGCCACTATGGAAGTTAATATGAGAGTTCCTCAAGAAACTCAAAACAGAGCTACTCTATGACCTAGCTATGGCATTCTTGTCCTGCAGTGCCCACAGAGGTCAGAAGATGCTGTTGGATCCCCTGGAACTGGAGTTACAGACAGTTGTTAGCTGCTATATGGGTGCTGGGAATCAACCAAGGTCTATTGCAAGAGCAGGCAGTGCTCTTAATTACTGAGCCATCTCTCCAGCCCCAGAAAAACTCTTATGTAACTAGTTTAATAAAATAAAAACAAGTTTTTCTTTCTTTTTGGGGGGTGGAGGACCTGGGATAGAATCTAGGGCCTTACCCGTGTGCTAGGCAAATGCTGTACCACTGAGCCATATCCCCAGCCCTCCTCCCCAAACACTAGGTTTTGCTAGTAAAATATTTTCACCTATGTCATAATTTAACGGTTTTGTAGGATATAATGAAGTAAGCAAGAAATCCCTGTCTTATTTGAATGTAAGGCCTAGAAGCTGTGTCTGTTAGCTTTCTCCCCTGCTGGCTGTGCTACCTTGGGGCAGCCCTAGTTCCCTCACTTAAAATGGGGACACCGATAACGTCGATTGCCGGGAAGGTCGAACGAGGCGGTGAGTGTGGACCATTTGGCCGGGTTTGGCACGGGAAAGGCACTTGGCCAATGTAAGCTATTTTTATGATTTCCTTTTGTGGACCCCAAATAAAGGGAGTGGACAAAGCCATGAGAGATGGGGAAGATGGCAGGGCTGAGGGGTAGGAGGACGGAGCTGCAGGGTGGAGGGCGGCTTTCACCACTTCCCAGCATCCATGTAGACTTCACACAAACATTTTGTAAGCTCCCTATTCGGGGTAATGTTTGCTCCTTCTGAGTACAGTGCCAGGGGCCTCAGAGAATTATTAACCTCATCCGACTATCTCACTTGTGGACGCCTTTGCCCCCCGTAAGTCAACACCACCTGGGGATTGGGACACAGTTTTCCAGGCACTGTTGGCCAGTCCCAACATGGACCATAAGGATTTGTTTCTTGTACTGCTTTTATTTCTAAAATCAGGTAAGGCTTGATGCTTTTTTTTTCCTTAATCTTTTCTTATTCTAGTCATGTATTAAAAAAATAGACTCACTATGTCTTTATGTGCAATTCCTTTCATTACTTCATTGAGCTATCGATTTATAGGGTTTTGCGTTCAAAATCTCAGATTGAAGAGTTTGCTATATAAATTTAATTTCCCTGTGAATTCTGTTAGAGTGGGGTTGATTGGGCAGAGCCAGCAATAGCTGACTTTTCAAATCTAAATGACTGGTGGATTTAGTGGGAAAAAGAAACCATAGAATTAACAGTACAAAGGACAGGCTGGCTCTCAGTGACTGGGTGACTGGGTGACTGAGTGAATTCATTTTTGTTCAACTGCCCTAATTCCATTGGGATTTTCCTGTTTGGTTTAAGGAAATCTTTGCATGGGTACATGCCGGCCTCTTAGGCCTAGATGAGTCACACACATCAGTTTTGAAATGACATTTGCATGTAGCAATTCAACAAATACCCATTTAGGGCTTGGGGTGTGCCAGACACATTTTTAAATATATGTGTGTACTTTGTGCTGTTTGTTAACACTACCTTGTGTAGCTGGTGGCACAGGTGGGTAGTACATTTATCCTTCTATAGATTAGGGAATCTAGACTCAGGAAAGTCATGGTGATAGCTCATTGACAAAACTGCCAGACCAAGGAAGTGAAAAATGCAGATTTAAACCGGGGCTTTCCAAGAAGGAATCTAGTATGCTACGTTTTCTGACTTTACTTAAAACTTACATTCTAAACATGGCAAATAACTGTTTTCTTTGAAGTAGCTTTACTGAAGTGTAATCCACATGCCATGCACTCATTTTGGGGCTTTATAGCCCAATGGTTTTGGGATATTCAGGGTTGTTCAAGTATCTCAATAAAATTTAGAATATTTCCATGGTCCTACAAAAAAATCTTCTTTTCTTAGCTGTTTCCCTCAATGCGCCACTCCTAAAAACCTGGAATCTACTTTCTGTCTTTATAGATTTGCTATTTTGGACACTCATATCAAAGCTATCCTATATTATGCTGCTGTGCTCATATAAACATTGCTGAGATATTTGAAATTCAATTTATAAATTACTAGGTGAAGTTTTATAAATTGTACTTATGGTTCAATACATTTGAATTTAGAGGGAGCCACTTAAAGACATGTTGGAGAAAATCTGGAGCAGGAGATTAAACAAAAAAGATTTTTGTGGGGAATGTATATATGTGTCACTGTATATGTATGCAATTGTATGTATCTCTGTGTGTATGCATGTGAATGTCCCTGTGTGTATGAGTGGGTCTCTGTGTGTCTGTGTATATGAAGGTGTAGGCCCCTGTGTGTCTGTGTATATGAAAGTGTTTCTCTATGTATATGTGTCTGTGTATATGAGTGTGTGCATATGAGTGTGTGAATATCCCATTTTAGCCCTTGGAAACCAGGTTTGGGAACACTATGAACTCAGTGGGCTACACCCAAAGGTTAGAATAAACTTCTCCACCACAATATTAATGCATGTCCTAACCAACTGAGGGGAAAATCCTTCATAACTGTTTTTTCTGGAATGACTTGACTTTCATCTTCCCAGTGTGCTGAGATGGCCTGGAAGAGAAAAACTTCTTTCACAGCTGTACGCAAATTGACGTTTGTTTTTTGAAGACAGGATCTCACTATGTATCCCTGGCTAGCTTGGCGCTCCCTACGTAGACCAGGCTGGCCTTGGACCCAGCGATCTGCCTGCCTCTGCCTCCTGAGTGCTGGGATTAAAGGGGTGAACCAACACACCCAGTTGAGATTTTTTTTAAACACAGATATTTGTGCATATGCACACCACAGTGATGAAAAAGTCACTGTGCTTTGATAGCAATATATGTCTACATTTAGGCATTTTTCCCTACTAAAAGATGTATTTAAAGTTTCTTTGTCAATGCATTATATGAAACCTTGCTGCTATATGAGTCCTGGAGGCAAACAAGAGATAAAGATGGAGGGGGTGCATTTTAAATATAAAAGAAAAACTTGATTCTCTTTCGGGATATTTCTTTGGAACATGAACTGCTCAGGTGGGCCTCAGAAGCCATCAACACTCAGCTCTGTGAACCCACAGCTGACAATCCAAATGGGGAGACCCCTCCTTTTCACTGCTCTTAGTGACCTTTCTTGTACACTTCCCAGGAACTCTTCGCACAGTTTAATTTAACTATTTGGATACCCTGTGCAGATTTGTTGTGTGTTTCCAGATCACACACTGATCTATAGATTTGCCAGCGCATAACTCTTGAGAATAAGAATTCAAATTAGAATAAAATGCAAACTTTAAATATCTGTCTCTCCTTAACCTCACACATTTATCCAGTGTTTGACCAGCTTTCTTTCTGCTCTCTAATCAGCCTAACAATTTGGAGTATCTTAAATTGAAGAGGGATGAGGCAGTACAGAGGGAGAGGGTAGACTTTGGCAGATGATTCTGTTCTCACCTATCATCTTCTGCCCTTCCCGCCTCTGATCCTGGTCACTCTTTAACCCTCTCCATCTGGCTGGCTGTGTTCTCCGCCACTCCCCTTAGGTGGTCAAGGTTGCCATGTTTCCCAATTCCATGAAGACTTTGCTTTGTTCATTAGCCTCTGTGGAAATCACTAGCGTTTACACTAGAAGAATAGAAGCTGGGGCCTCCAGGCTTGGAACAGAGCTGTCCAAGTCAGGCCAGGCTTTGTGTAGAGCCTCGGACCTGGGGCCACTCAGCAGCTTGTTGTGGGAGCTGGTCCGAAGGCCCCATGATCACCCTCTGCATGACAAGAATGAAAACGACAGACTGCCTCAGATTCCATTTCACAGAAAAATTAAAGGCAGGTAAGGTGTGGTGGTGCAATACCTATAATCCCAGCGCTGAGGATTCTGAGGCAGGAGGATTGCCTTGAATTTCAAGCCAACTAGAGACTAGGGTTACACAGAAAGACCTTGTCTCAAAAAACAAACACCCCTTCCCCCACAAAATTCAGGGGTTGAAAAGATGGCTCAGCAGTTAAGAGTACTGGCTGCTCTTGCAGAGGACCTAGTTTGGATCTCAGCACCACATGGTGGCCAACAACTGTCCATTGGTCCAGTTTCAGGGGATCCACTGCTTCCTTCTGATCTCCACGGGCATTGCATGACATGGATGAATGTACATACATGCAGGCAAAACCATGAAACACATAAAATAGAATAAATAATTTTTTTCCAAAAGAATAAATCAAAGCCTTTGAAATATCAGTTACATTCAACATCACTGAGGGAATACAAACGTATTTTGTTAGAAACCAAATGTCACTGAAATGCAACAATGGCCTCTGGGTTCCACTTGTATCCAGGGAAGGCCAAATAAAAATCAAACTTGGTAACACAATTGCCACTGATGGTGTCTTACTGGTTTATCTCCACAGGACAGACAGTAACAAGCAATGACATTCCCTCTTATTTAAAGTTTCATGTCCTTGTAGCAACGCATGGTTCTCATCTACTAATCAATGTGTCAGTCTAGCTGGAGTGTGTTTCATTTTTGGTTTTGAGACAGGGTCTTCCTGTAGCCCTCACTGGCCTGGAACTAGCTATGTAGACCATACTGGCATAGATCTCATAGAGACTGGCCTGCCTCTGCCTCAAGAGAGCTGGGATTAAAGGCAAAAACCACCACACCCTACATTGTAATCTGCCAACTGTTTATCTAAGGATTTGTATTTGCTGCAAGACATTTGACTTCAAATAAAGCAACCAGTGTGATTTTGTTGATACAGAGCAAATAAATTAAAAAAAAAAACAACATAGCACAGAAACATATACATGTGCCCCCACACGTACACACCACACACACACACACACACACACACACACACACAGCAATAAACTATGGTGTTGATGAATTTACTCAGTTTTTCTTCATCTTCCCCTTTCAGGTCAAGGGGATCCCCTGGATGGCTACGTAAGCACACAAGGGGCTTGGCTCTTCGGTGTCACCAAGAAGGAGCTGGGGACAGGAAGCATAGCGGACTGTGCGGCCAAATGTGAGGAGGAAACGGACTTCACCTGCAGGTATCGCGCTGCCGTTGCCCCAAGGCAGAAACCTTGCTGATGTTTGAGACACTGTTTTTTTAACTGTAATTTATAACATGCTTCATTTGTTTTAAAATTATGGACATATGAAATTACCCAGTATTCTTTTGATGACAAGAAATTTACTCATGGATTGAGTGACAGAAGCATGACTTGAAAGGAAAAGGGAGGCCTGGAGAGATGGCTCAGTGATTAAGAACACAGTTTGCTATCACAGAGGACCCAGGTTCAATTCCCAGCACCCCATCATGGCTAACTGGTTCATAACTCCAGTTCCAGGGAATCCAAAGCCCTCTTCTGACCTCCACAGGCATTGCATGATATGGGTGCACTTACACACATGCAGGCAATACACTGATACACATAAAATAAAAATAATAAATAAAAATATTTCTAAAAAGGAAAGAAAGGGGCCGGGCGTAGTGGCGCACGCCATTAATCCCAGAACTTGGGAGGCAGAGGTAGGTGCATCTCTGTGAGTTCAAGGTCAGCCTGGTCTACATAGCAGGCCAGCTAGGACTACAGGGAGACCCTGTCTTGATAAGACAAAAAAAAAAGAAAAGAAAAGAAAAGACCAAAAAAGGAAGAAAAGGGAGATTTGTATGTCTCAGTGAGAAAAGGGATTTACAGCTCCGATGACCTGAATTCAATCCCTGGAACCCACACGAAGTTGGAAGGAGTGAATCAAATCTATGACATTGTCTTCTGACCTCCACATGTGTTCTGTGTGTGGCACATGTGCACCTATACACACAGTAATAAAAAATGTGAATTTGAAAAAGAAACAGAAAAAAAAAAGAGAAGGGACTGTAGGGACCAGAGTTTGCTCACAACACCAGAAGCCTCAGCGGCAGCTCCTGTCAAGGGTTTTCAGCATTTCCTCCTGCAAAGGAGGCTGGCTCAGTTGTAAAATGCTCGTCCTACAAACATGACACCCTTGAAATGAGGTGGAGGACTGTAATCCTAGCACTGGGAGATGAGATTGGATGGATCCTTGGACTTTATTGGCTAGCTGATCCAGCCAATCAATGAGCTCCAGGTACGGTGACAGACCCTGTCTCAAAAAATAAGGTAGAAGCCAGGTGTGGTGACACACACTTTAATCCCAGCACTTGAAAAGCAGAGGCAGGTGGATCTCTGTGAGACTGAGGCTACATAGCGAGTTCCAGGCCAGCTGGGGCTTCAGGGAGACCCAGTCTTACAAGAAAATAAAAGCAATTGAGGAAGACACTCAACACTGACCTCTGACATCTGTCCTCACACCCACAAGCACACACATACACACATGTGAACACATCCATACCACATACAAAGTACCCCAAAGGACAGAAATGTTAGCATCTTCTGCCATGAGTTCTTGTTCTGACCATCATCAGCAACAACTTGTCGAAGATCATGTAAGTGGAAAAGATCCTAAACAGACAAGTGTGCGCATACTACCTAGGACTGTTGTTTTACGTTTATAGAATAGTCAAAGGAACCAGTGATTGTCATAAAAGAAGACAGCCTTCATGAGGTGTTGCCAAGTGAAAAAGCAATGCATTCTTTGTAGAGATTTAGAGGGAAAAATGTGAAGGGTTAAGATGTCTAGAGAAGGTGTCATCAGGCAGGAGGTGGGAGTGAGCTGGGCTTCGGGAAGTGGGATTTTGACAAGGTACTGGAAAATTGGGGAGGCTTTCCAGGCAGGGTGAGAGGCACAGCCCTGGCCTTCGATAGGATCATGAGGAGACTAAGCTGATTCAAGAAAAGGCAAGAGGTCTGGTTGGAAAGATAGCTGTAATTGCTTTGAACACCAGGCTGAGCCTCTATGGCAGGACCATATGAAGGGAAGAGAGGTAGGAAGTTTAGGCTGTTTTCTGTTGCTGTAACAGAATGCCAAAGACTGGATTATTTATAAAGGAAAGAAGTTTGACAAATGCATGGTTCTGGAAGTTGGAAGTCTAAGACCAGGCAGCTGCACCCAGCAAGGGCCTCGTGGTGTCAGGACATGGCAGGAAGGTGGAAGGGAGGACAGGCAGGTGCACAGAGAATAGAAGGAACAGCTTCCCTTTAGTTCCATTTGGTAAACAGCTTCATCCCTCAAATGTGAGGACTTGGTACCAGGAAGCCATCTCAAGGAAGCCATTGATCTTTCCTGACAACCTGATCCCCACCCCCACCCCCACTCCCGTTAAAGGGCTTGCCGTCTCTCAGCACTGTTACACCAAGGACCAAGCATCTCCACGAACCGTAGGAGAGGTTGAAAGGGGAGGAGTGGAAAGGAATGTAGAGGCAAAGACTAGAGGGGAAACGACAGAAGTCTGGGAGTCCAATAGGCAGACCATCCTGGGAAAGGGTTCAACCCACAGTTACTTCTTGCCAACACAAAATAAATACTGTTACTTAAGAAAGTGAAGGAGACAGACATGGTGGCCCGTTCTTATAGTTCTAGTATGCTGGAAGCTGAGGCAGAAGGATTGAGAGCTTGAGGTCTGGTCCAGACAGGAGTGCCAGACCTGCCCAGTACTCTGTCTCAAAAAGAGGGAAGGAAGGAAGGGAGGGAGGGAGGAGAAGGAAAGGGGAGGGGAGGGGAGGGGAGGGGAGGGAAGGGGAAGGAAGAATACAGTGATTGAAATTGGATAGGGAGAGGCTAAAATACAGAAGACAGGAGTAGCTACCATATCGATGTATTCATTTTTAGTGCTGACTGCAACGATGCTGGGACAAAATTAGCCAATAGGAAAGCAACAATTCTGCGCTCCGGGATCTACCAAGAGATGCACTTCTCAGTGTCTTAGTGTCTTGCTCAGTGCTGGGTGTAAAGGGAAATGCATCATCGTTGTCCTTCCTGCAGGTCATTCCAGTATCACAGCAAGGAGCAGCAATGTGTGATCATGGCTGAGAACAGCAAGACTTCCTCCGTCATCCGCAATAGGGGCGTCATCTTATTTGAAAAGAGAGGTGCATCCATTTTTCTCCTCTCCTTCCCCCTTTCCTCTTCTATATCCTTTGTTTATGAGACCAGAGAGAATAACACAGATAGTCTGAGTTAGGATAGGATTTCCCACCTAACCAGTGATGTCAACGTGAGCCTATTTCTTCACATCGAAGGACTGGGTTTACAAAATCATTGCTATGACTCTAAAAATAAGACATATGAAAGTTGGCTTTGTTTTTAAGGAGTTGAAGCACTCTTTGTGCTGTTAGCGTCTGCTTCTGCAGGGTGACCATCCCCTGGACTCTCCCGAACTAACAACTGGCATAATAGACTTTGAGACTTTAAAAGGTTTTTAAATATATTTATTTATTCTCTGAGAATTTCATATATGTATACATGTCCTTTGATCATATTTGCCTCCACGCCTTCCAGCTCCTCCAGAATCCCCCCACATCCCTCTCCCTTCATGTTATTTTTTTATTATTAATTTTTAAACGTTTTATTGCATTTTTTTCATGCAATGTATTTTGATCCTATTTAGGCCTCTCCCCTATTGGGATCCCTCTCATTACTTCCCCTCCCACCTGATTTCATGCACTCTGTCATATATACTAAGGCCTATTGAATCAAATTTGGGGTCCCCAAATGTCTGTCAGTGAGTTCATCCACTGGAGCCTGCTTAATCTAGTTGGTGTCACACCCTTAAAGAAAACTGATTCTCCTTCTCTTAGCAACCCTTGGTCACCAGTAGCTCCTCAGGTCGGGTTGGGGTTTCTTACCCACTTTCCCACTTCTGTGCTGAGATTTTTGTCTGGTTTGAGCTTGCATGGGACTTGTCTATGCTGTCACCACTGCTGTGAGTTTATTTGAGAAACTTCCCAGCTGTCTGGAAAACTCCAGTTCCTTGTGGTCTTAGTCTCTCCACCCCCTCTTCCACAATGGTCACTGAGCTTTGGATGGCAGAAGTTTGATGTGTGTGTCCTATTCTGGGACAAACACTGCACATTGACCAGTTGTGGCTTTCAGGGTTAATCAACACCTGCCTCA